CTTACCCCAGTTACAATGGGGCTTTATACAGACAGCTGCCCCTCCCTCTCTGGTCCTGGCCTCCCCAATGGGTCTGGTGGCCTTAGACATTGGCAGCCAATCAGCTGCAAGCAGATTTGCATGAAGGGGCCATTCCCCAGTGCTGGTGTTTTAAGGGGGAATCGGAGGGTCCCAGCCACAGACCCGTTTGCCTCAGGGAGCCGAGCTCGTCTGGATCCACCATGGCCTGGGCCCCCCTGCTCCTCACCCTGCTCACCTACTGCTCGGGTGCGGTAACCCAAAAAGATTTTAATCCAAAAAGATTTTCCCTTCCCCAGCTGCCTGTGCTGGCTGCCTGCAGAGTGAGCTCTCTCTCCGCACAGCAATGACACAGCGAATTGATCCCTCTGTTTTCTCCTCTTTTCCCAGGTTCTCTGGCCCAGTACGTGCTGACTCAGCCGCCCTCAGTGTCTGCGTCTCCAGGGCAAAACGCTCAACTCACCTGCTCCGGGAACAACATTGGTAGCAAGAATGTGCAGTGGTACCAACAGAAACCTGGAAGTGCCCCCCTAGCAGTGATATATGAAAATAACAAAAGACCCTCCGGAATCCCTGAGCGATTCTCTGGCACCAACTCCGGGAACACGGCCACGTTAACCATCACTGGGGTCCAGGCGCAGGACGAGGCTGATTATTACTGTCAGGTGTGGGATGGCAGTGCTCCTCACAGTGACACAGCCTGAAGGGGAAGTGAGACAAAAACCTCCTCGCTAAGAAAGGCCTCACTTAACATCCTTCATTGTGATGGTGGATGAGCTAAGATTTCAGAGGTGGAGAGGTGCCTGCATATTTCAATTCCCAGAGACCCTTCAAAACAAAGATTCCATAAATCATTCTCTGAGAATGGCAGAAATCACAGCCCTTTGGACATGCAATGTTGTTGTAGCCCCGTCTGTCCCAGGGAACTACTGAGATCAAGTTGTGAGATCTGTGTGGCTGCACACCTCATCTCTCTCTAATAGAATATGAAGAGCTGCAGTGAAACATATTACCTCTCCCTCCCAGCCACTTTTTGAGTCTAGGGCAGGTTTCTTTGTGAGCACAACTTTGATGGAATGTGAAATTTCATCTCTGGTCTACATACATTACCTCAGTTACTGTACTTGATGATCCAATGAGAATTAAGGATGATGAGCATAAAAGAGCTTCTAGTGCAGGTCTGGCATTTCACACAGTGCTGAGGGCTCAGACATTGTAAAAACCTCCTAAACTGTGAACAGTGGGTCCAGCTTCAAAGATCACAGTGATCACTAGTCCCAGTGGGAAATCAGGGGCTCTCCAGGGTATATTAGTTGCCTTTCAAATTCTGAGAAAAAACAGGGCACTGCTGGAATCCCTCATTCTGCCTGTGGGTACCAGGACATACCCAGTAATACTGTATGCTTAGCTATGTGTGGGGTTTCCAAGGTGAGGATGTTGTTATTGTGCTCTGGGGTACAGTAGTGGAAACAGGAAAAATCTTCCCTTTCTCTCCTGTGGTTTGTACTGTGCCGGGAAGTTCATGACATGCAGTTTGATTTCTGCCCTTACCAACGTTCAAAGATCGCTGAACTGGGCTGGAACGTCACCCCAATATTTTTCTCCTGAGTAAACCTGTCTGCTCACATTCTGATTTGGAATGTAGTACACGTACATTCTCTAGGCCTTCCTCAGGGTTCAGAAGTAAACTGTTTGCAATGTTTCCTGAGACTGTGAGCAACAGCCTGCAAGAGCCTCCCCAAGGAAGGGTAAACTGTCACATTCATCTCAATGGCCCCTTAACTCTCAAAGTCAACAGACAAGTACAATCAGATGGAGAATGCAGATTCAAAGATGTCACTGGGCAGAGCATATGAGTGACTGCTCTGGCCATGGTTGGTCCTGCAGACCATGAGTCACAGAGCAAGGCCCCTCCGTTCCCCTGCTTTTATTTTTAACCCCACTTTTCCCTAGGAGTGGGTGGGCAGGGCTCATTTTAAAAGTTGTTTCCATGGCAGTCAGGTGACTGTCTGTGGTGTTGAATAGCAGCTACATGTGTCCAAAGGAGTAACGGTAGTTCGAATTAGAAAGCCTAATTCGAACTACCTATTCTGTACAGCATGTAGCCGTGGGCATGGAGTCTGCATTAAGAGGGATTTAAAAATGGCGGCGCCCGGCATGATGCAAATGAAGTCTGGGATATTTAAATCCCGGGCTTCATTTGCAACTTCGAATGGCTACATTAGCCACCCTAGTTCTAACTAGGGTGGCAGTGTAGACATACTCACATTTGTGTGCTTTAACACCCTCCTAAAGAATTAGGATTTTTGTAATAGTTTTTCCTAATGTCCAATCTAGACCTCCCCCACTGCAACTTGAGACCTTTGTTCCTGGTTCTGTCATCTGTCACCACTGAGAACAGCTTCTCTCCATCTTCTTTGGAGCCTCCCTTCAGGCAGCTGAAGGCTGCTATCAAATCCTCCCTCACTCTTCTCCTCTGTATCCCCTCATGAGTCATGTGCACAGGGCCCCTCATCCTTTTGTTGCCCTCTCCTGGACTTTCTCCAATGAGTCCATATATTTTCTGTAGTGGGAGGCACAAAATTGAGCACAATAGTCCAGATGTGTTCTCACTAGAACCAAATAAAGGGGAATAATAACTTCCCTAGATCTGCTGGTAATGCTCCTCTTAATGCACCCTAACATACCATTAGCCTTCTGTCTACAAGGGCGCCCTGTTGACTCATATCCATTTTCTCATCCACTGAAATCCCAAGAGTCTTTTCTGCCAAACTGCTGCTTAGCCAGTCGGTTCAGAGCCTGTAACAATACTTGGGATTCTTCTGTCAACGTGAAGGATTTCACTCTTCTCCTTGTTGAACCTCATCAGATTCCCTTTGGCCCAACCCTCCAGTATATCCAGGTCACTCTAGACTGGGTGTCAGCAACCTATGGCATGTGTGGCACAAGTTGCCTGTGAGTTAATTCTCTTTTCTAACTCCCCCCCAGGTGAGCACCCTACCCATGTTCTGAAGGGTCACGACCTGCTGCAGTGTTTACAGGTCAACAGGCGAGACAGGACAGATGCAAATGTTACTAAGTAGCAGAGCGACTTCTTGTGACTGTGAAAATTTGGCCCAGAAGCAAATCCGGGCTGGGGATAGGAGCCACGGTCCTGGAGCTGGGGAACTGCCCTCCACATGGGAAATGCTGGTGAAACTGTGAGCTGGGGCAAGAGATCACATTTAAAATGAAGCTCTGACCTGCAGAGGGAGCTTTCAGCTCTAGTGTCAGGGAGAGGAGCCACTATCCCTTTTCCTGATGAACCATGTGGCCACATGCTGCTGGGGAGGGATTCTATAGGGAGATAAAATGACAATAACAATAAAGCTTTTTTCCAGATACCTCCCAGATTCCCCTTTTTTCCTTCTTGCTCTGAGGGCAGAGAGGGACAGGTGGAGCAGGTGGGGAGCTGGTGGAGAGCAGGTGCAGTCAGACCTGACCATATAGGATGTGCATAGAAAATAGACTCTCCCAAAGCCATTCATCCATCTCTCAGAAGTGTATCTCAAGAGGATGATTTCTTGGCAATTCTCTGATGACATTTCCACCTTGCTGATACAGACCAGGCAAGTGCCTGTCCAAGCAACAACATGGAGCATCCACCTGTCCAAACTGATACCCCCAAAATACCCCCTGAACTGTGCCCCTTCCTCAAGCTCTGCCCTGGGATTGAGTGGTCTGTGCCCCTCTCAGCAGATAGAGCTATTTCTCGCCACATGAGCCCTTTGCTCTCTTAGCTCCCATTCTGCCTGTGTAACCACCACTGGTTGGATTTGAACCTGGGAACTCAGAATCTTAGTATAGGAACCTCTGCCTTCTCAGCTAAAAGCCAGCTGGCTCTCAGCCCATGGTGCAGAAATCTCTTCATCTTAGCTTTGCTGTGGTCTAGGTGCCACTGCATTGGCCAGTGAACTGCACTAGGTGTGTGGGTTATACCTGCACATGCATTACCAGCAAGCAGACAGCTCATGCACTGCCAAAGTCCCAGAGCTTTACAATAGGAGAGCCCTACCCAAACAGAGCAACAGTTCCAAACTGCAATGGATTGTGCCCAGGAATATTGCCCTCCCCACCTCCAGGGCAGTGCCAGTGCTGACATGATATTTCTGTGTGCTCTGTGTGACTCTGCAAGGCAGTCTGGGCTCAACAGGACCGTTGCTACATCTCCAAATATTTGTGCTTATACAGAACAGGAATGATTTGCCTTCAGTTACTGCACTTTTACAGAAGGGTGAATTTTACTGGCTGGGACTCACATCGCAGTACAGCAGAGAAGACTTGATCCCAGTATCTTCCCCTGTGTCACTGCCCATCTCGTCTGGGCGAATGAGGATGCGTCAGGAGCTAGTGAGCAAGCCATTCTCTAGCTCTGGGGGTTTAAGAGAGAATCAGAGGCTCTCAGCCACAGACCTGTTTGCCTGAGGAAGCCAGGCTCATCTGGATCCCCTGCCATGGTCTTGGCCCCTCTGCTCCTTGCACTGCTCACCTACTGGTCAGGTGATATTTGGTGTTTGCATGTCTCCTGACTGCCTGCAGATCATGTTCACTGGGGATCAATGTTGAGTCGTTTTATTCATGTGCTTTCTCCTTGCAGGTTCTCTCGCCCAGTACGTGCTGACTCAGCCACCCTCAGTGTCTGTGTCTCCAGGGCAAAATGCTCAACTCACCTGCTCAGGGAACAATATTGGTAGCAAGAATGTGCACTGGTAATAACAGAAACCTGGCAGCGCCCCCCTATTCATGGCAAAGTCAGGGGATCTTTTCACTGCCCCCCAGTAATTTCTCTCCCTTCTCTCCCTCCATTGCCCCAGCCACTCTCTGGTCTCACATCTCACTCTCAGACAAGCTCCAATCTGCACTGCCAAAGACTGCAAAATCCCTCTCCCTTCTGCGCTCCTGCACAGAACTGGAAAGCCTCCATTGGCCTAAAACTGGAGCCTGGAGGCAGGGCAATAGAACGCTGCCCCTGCGCTCTACCCCAGACAGTCAAACTCTTTGGTGCCTTTGGTATCTGAATCAGGAACAGTAAGAACCTCTCGATGTCCCATTGCTGTGAAATCTGAGTCAGCTTCAGAATTGAAGAGCTCATTGTTGGGCTCTGGGGGAAGTTACTCCCTCCATTGGCCTAAAACTGGAGCCTGGAGGCAGGGCAATAGAACGCTGCCCCTGCGCTCTACCCCAGACAGTCAAACTCTTTGGTGCCTTTGGTATCTGAATCAGGAACAGTAAGAACCTCTCGATGTCCCATTGCTGTGAAATCTGAGTCAGCTTCAGAATTGAAGAGCTCATTGTTGGGCTCTGGGGGAAGTTACTCAAGGTCTCATGACAAGCTCAGGGGACCTCTTCACTGACCCCCCCCCCTCCCCCCGAGATTTGTGTCCTATCTCATGTTTAATTCATAAATATATGTTGCAGATGAGACACAATTCTCAAAACTGGTGCTGAGTAGTTGCCATCCCACCCTACTATAACAGGGCACCATTGACCGTGGGGGTGAGCCCTGGCCTTAGGGCAATGTGATTGCTTTGGACCCTTCTCATTCAGAGCCCCGCGCTGCGGTGCCCGCCAACCCACCTGTTCACTAGCTGCCCTGGCTGGGAGCTACACAGCTTTGGGCCCCACAAGTTCTTTTTCTGGGTCTGGGGTGGTGTTAAGGGAGCAGAAGCTCCCCCACTGAAAATCAGAACCCCTAGATTTCATATTTGAGGTCTGCTTAAAGCTGCATGCCCTGGCTCCAGAGGCAGTGCTTAAATGCAACAGAGTTTGAGCTGCTCCTAGCTTTGCCTTTGGGGCAGGGAATTTGTTATGAGAAGAGGGAGACGGGTGATTAAGACTATCAAAAGGCTGGGCATTCCAATAATAGAAGGATTGTTAGATCATCATAAAAACATTGCTGGGTACTCCACGTAAAACTTAGGATGGGAAGAGAGTAGAAATGAGTGTTGTGCTGCTGGGATCACTGCTATTTAACATACACATGTTCTTGGAAAGGGGATGAATAGTGAGGTAGTAAAATTTGCAGATCCTACAAAATTACTCAAAATAGTTGAGTCCAAAGTTGACTGCAAAGAGTTAGAAAGGGTTCTTAGAAAACTGGATATCACTAGGCAACACAAGGGGAGATGGAATTCAGTTTTAATAAATCCAAAGTAATGGACATGGAAAATATAATCCCAATTATAGATACAAAAATGATGGATGTAAAATAGCTGTTCCTACTCAAGAAAGAGATCTTGGAATCACTATGGTTAGTTCTCTGAAAACATCTCCTCAATATGCAGTGGCAGTCTAAAAACTAAAAAGCTAACAGCATATTGGGATTCATTAGGAAAGCAATACATAATAAGAGAAAAAACACCACATCAGTGGTTACTAGCCAGAATGGGCAGGGATGGTGTGCCAAGCTACTGTGTGACAGAAGTTGGGAATGGATAACAGGTTGGATCATTTCATCCATTTGTTCATGTCTTTGGAAGCAGCTGGCACAGCCTCCTCTGTTCATGCCTTCTAAAGCACCTGGCATTGGACAGCATTGAAAGACAGGATACTGGGTAAGATGGATCATTGGTCTCACCAAGTATGTCTGTTCTGATCATAGATAGAGCCCCCGTGTATCTGCCCCCTGCTGTAATCCACCAGACTCTACTCCCTTTGAGATCTGAGATAGAATCCAAGAGTTCTGCCTGTCTCTCTCTCTCTACAAACCCTCCCTCTCCTAAAGGTTAGTAACAAAGCGTTTAAGGATGACCTGAGTCCCTTGAGTGACTTGCCAGAAGATGAAAGAACGTATTAAAAGTAGAGCTGAGTGAGTCTATTTTTTTAAAATTTCTTTCTTTCATATAGGAATTAGATAAAGTGCCATTGTCAGCGAATTGCTAAGTTATCTGATAAAAAAAAAACCCTAGAGTTTTTCACAGCCCTTGAAAGAGATGATACGTACATGGGGTGAAGGGAAGAATGGGATTGGTCCCCCCACAGTTGGCTTTCTTCTCCCTTCCATCACAGTATATACAACATCCCCCTCCCCCAAAACCAGGTTCCACCACAGCTGAACTTCACCCTTCTTACTCAGACCTGCTGGGCATTGGCATAAATACTCCAGCAGCTCTAGGGATGCCAACATGTGCCTCCAGGATGAGAACTGTGCTGCAATGGTAGAGAGATCTTTTACGGAGGAGAGGGGTTTTGCTGACAGCCCCATGGGGCACAGATTGCAGCATACAAAAGACAAATGCTGCTCTCGGTGGATACTTGTTTAAATCTGAATTATGCTGGTTTGCAGGTGCTCTGTTCCCATGGGACTTTTTGCACTGACATGACGTGGAAGCAAATCTTATTGCAGCTGCCCCATATAGTGACTGATCTCCCCAGAGCTGGGAGGAAGCTGATGACTTGCTCATCCTGCATCACACATAGAACCAGCCCTTGAAGGAGCAGCTGGGGTGTGCACAGTGACTGTGAAGTGACGCTGCTCCACAGCCATGCAGAGGAACAGCCCCAGGCTGTGTGTGACACTGACCACTAGGAGGAGCTGATCATCCACAGCCCATAGGATACCCAATGGGGTTTGCAGTTCCCAGTGACCGGCTGGCAGCTGCTGGGCTAGAGGCATCTCATGTGGCTAGTAGGAATGAGGATCCCTGGGGCCTTCTGCTCTGAGAGCCCAGCTCTTCATCCAGCCACTTCTGTCCTCCCTGTTCCACGTTCTCCAGGGCAGAGGCTCCCACCGGGGCCACGATGAATCCCCCAAACCCTGAGGGCAGAAAGGGAGAAGCCCTGCAGCTGCCTACACCTGCAGCCCCACCCCAGGCTGACTTCTCCCTCCCCCAGTCACTCCATGCTCTGCCGTGGGGGAGCACGTGTAAGGGGGAAGCTCAGCTGACTCCTGCTCCCCTGCTGGCCCCACGACTCACAGGGACCAGCCAGCTCCTCGCTCTCCTGACATGGGGCTGGCCAGAGTCAAAAGAGCAGGTGAAAGGAGGCAGCTGGAAGAGCCACCCCAGCCTCCCACCCACATCCCAGCGCCAGAGACCAGGGGAGGTGACTGCAGGGATTGTGGGTTGGGGCCACAACAACAAATCTCAGCTGGTTTGTTACCCCAGGGGCAGGCAGGTGGATGCTCGGCACCATGAAATAAGGGGTGTGGCCGGTTGTGCAGCCTGAGAGTCCTCAGCTCCAGGGGTCTCTACTGTCCCCTGGCAAAGGGTAACCCAAAGCATTCCTCTTACCCCAGTTACAATGGGGCTTTATACAGACAGCTGCCCCTCCCTCTCTGGTCCTGGCCTCCCCAATGGGTCTGGTGGCCTTAGACATTGGCAGGCAATCAGCTGGAATCAGATTTGC